GCCCGGAACGCACATTTTCAAAGGAGAATAACTGACTGTAGCATTGTTTTTCAGATAAACAAGTATGTTAACTTTGCATGTTTCTTAAATATTTGCAAACATATTATGGCATTTTTATGCTTCAGTGGAGTCAAAAACTTACATACAGCACCTTTAAAAGGCTTGCATGCTTGACTGTGCACAAAATGGAGTGGAATGTGGACAATTACGTGTTCCTAAGCCTTAAGTCCACTTGTGCTTCCACAAACACTCGACGCCACCTGAGGATGCAGCCTACATTCTTCAAGCATGACTCCCTGATGCAAGAGCAAATCTGTACCACAATTCACGTGACCTGGTTTGTGCACAGCACAAATGGACAGCAACACGCTGTGCCAGATCTAAAGTTGGATATGAGTGCATTCCCTGATGATTGTAGACCAGTGGTTCCCAACCACATTCCTGGAGTACTCCAACACTGCACATTTCACATTTTTCCTTAATCAAACAGGTCATCAGCTCATTAGTTGAGACTCCAAGACCTGAAATGGTTGTCAGACGAAGGAGGCATGCAAAATATGCAGTTACTCCAGGGTACTCCAGGAACATGGTTGGGAACCAGTAGCTACATTTACATGGACACCCTGAAGGAAGTCATTCCAATTGATGAAATTGACCATAGTGTTTACGTGAATGCCAAATAAAGTGATTGGGTTGATGTAAGCATTTATATGCCACAGGTTCCAATTATACAGTATATATGTATGCCCTCGTCAGATACTGCATAAGTAACGATTTATCCACCATGACAACTTTGCACCATGCAGGACTTTTGAGCCAAGGCAACTGCCTTCTTATAGACAGTCCCTGTCCCAAACTCTTGAGTATGTCTGCATAGTAGAGAAGCTTTCAGGAAGAGATGCCTAAAAAGACAAAGCAGCAGCCAAAGACCTGGTGGAAACAGGTCCTTAGAGGATGACATCTCTATCACCTCCTTTAAAAGAAAGGACAAGACTTCTTGAATCAGGATCTGGTTCCTAGAACATTTGTCATGTAACTCAATCATGTTCATGCTTTCAAGAGCCCTACAAAATGGTCAGTTAAAAGCACAATTTTGTGGAGTTGCTAACAATCCAATTAATGGGACATCCATAAAACTTTTGTCCCAGGTGTGCACCAATGCGACACTACTAACTGCAACAAAACAATCCGCCTGTATGAGCATCAGCCAAATGAGATGCATAAAAGAGACCCATAAACAAGCAAACAGCATCAGTGCCCTTTTATCAGCATGTGTTTAAGACAACACCAGGCTTAATGAAAGTCTTAAACACCTTCAAAAAGCTTTGCGGTGTTTTATGCATATATATTGCCTCATTCTTACTCGGAAAAGCAGCCCGTTTCATCCTATTTCTATGTAATTATCACCCTTCAGGTGAAGCAGATGGCAAATTAACCGCTGGATGCAAACTGCTGACAATGTTGTCGTCTTATCCATTTTGCATGATGACAGTGTTAGTGTTTATGCACATCCTGATTACAACAATTTTGACAGTGGGTGGTTGCTGTCAGGGACTGTTAAATATGGAATGATTTCTGAAGAAGTTCTAAGGTTGCTGGGGTTTTTGTGTGTGTGTGTGTGATATAATCATTCTCCATATTGAAATGTGTTGCTTGCATAAAGAAGGTTCAATAGTATCACTTGTTGTTATGCAGCACAAACTTATTGGTTCGGAGAAATAACTTTTTTACACAGTTCCAGTTTTAGGACATTTCTGTAGGCTTAAAATGTGTTTGTCTAAGCAAATCAATTTGTTTGTGAACCAATGCATCAGCAGATAAATTAGGCCACAATGATCTGGAATGCAAGCCTGTTACAAGGCTTTGTAGACAGTGTTCAGTCTTCTTCTTTACTACAATGGAGTATTATAGTGCCCAAAGTATTCAAACGTGTAGTAGAGACAGTGAGAAAAGCATGGTTTGTTCCAGGTTCTCAGCCAGCTCTAAATAAAATCCTTGTGGAAAAGAATGATTAATTTACAGAAATGGACAAAGAGGTTGAAAACCCTGATAAGATGAGATAATCTTACCACAGTGCTCTCATCTCACAAAGGAGTGCCGCAAGGATCTGTTTTAGGCCCTCTTCTGTTTTCCTTGTAAATGCTTCCCCTAAAAGCTCTACATTTCTTGTATAAGACCTTTTTTGTAGAGATTGTATTAAAGACATTAAATACTCAGTGACCAGCAATTTCTTTCTGTTGACTCTCCATTGTTGCTTTCAGATAGAGGTGGATGACAAGTCTGAGTCAGCAAAAGAAAAGCTGACTTTCTGTATTGAGATAGCGTAAATGAGTCCAGAACATTTGCAGAAGTGGATTGTTTATATCCAGATTAACAAGTTAAAACTCGCCCCAGTACATCCTCTTTTTCTCTTTGCTCTGACTTAGG